CTCTTCTTCCATCTCCCTGTTACAAAAATCAATGCCGTGTACACGTCCACTGATAGGAGACGCGGAAGGTATTAAACTGATAAAAATAGTACCAAACACACCACTCCTATCTGGTGTCACATTAGCTTGACCGCGCAGTGCCCCAAATTTGCAGTAAGAGGACCACCCAAGCCTCTTCTTCCATCTCCCTGTTACAAAAATCAATGCCGTGTACACGTCCACTGATAGGAGACGCGGAAGGTATTAAACTGATAAAAATAGTACTAAACACACCACTACTATCTGGTAGCACATTAGCTTGACCGCTACAAGAGTGCCCCAAATTTGCAGTAAGACCGACCAGTTCTTCTTCCATCTCCCTGTTACAGTAACAATGTCAAAAATAATGCCCACTGATAGGAGACGCGGAAGGTATTAAACTGATAAAATAGTACTAAACACACCACTCCTATCTGGTGTCACATTAGCTTGATCAAGAAAGTGCCCCAAATTTGCAGTAAGAGGACCCACTAAGCCTCTTCTTCCATCTCCCAGCAAAAATCAATGCCGCGGTACACGTCCACTCATAGGAGACGCGAAAGGTATTAAACTGATCTGAACAATACTAAACACACCACTCCTTTTTTTTGGTGAGGCTTTACAGGACAGAGTGCTTCTCCACGGGACATGTTAACTCACGGGCAGCTGGCTCATCAAGGAACCACAGCAGCTTCCATGTACAGGTAAGACACGTGCAGCCGGTAAGGGTTCAGGCTCTTCTTCCTGGAGGATACGCTGCAAGCCTGTTGAACGAGGTGACCTTGCTCGGGTCCCAGGTGTACGTTCCTAAAATGGCTGCCATATACACGTCCACTGCTAGGAGACGCGGAAGGTATTAAACTGATCAGAACAATACTAAACACACCACTCCCATCTGGTGGCATTAGCTTGACCGCCAAGAGTGCCCCAAATTTAGTACCAAGAGGAATCGACCAAGCATCCTTCCATCTCCCTGTTACAGAAATCACTGCCATATCCATACAAATTGTACAGAATGTCCAGGATAGTTTTCCAGGGACAAATGTTGTCGCCTGTTGAACGAGGTGACCTTGCTCGGGTCCCAGGTGTGTACGCAAAATGGCTGCCATATACACGTCCACTGATAGGAGACGCGAAGGTATTAAACTGATCAGAACAATACTAAACACACCACAAATAAGGTTTCTCTCCTGTATGGCTCCTCAAATGATGCTTAAGATTAGAAGCGGCTGAAAAGCATTTCTCACACCTCAACAAAAATATATTTTTTATTCTCTATTTGAAACGAAATGACGTTTGGGAAGAGATTAACATAATTAAACACAGGCAGTAAAATACAGTTTTTAGCCATACCCTGTAACTTTTAAACTACACATCCCATCTTCATAATTACATATTTGGAATCAGCACACTTAAAACATAAACATAACCAAAAATCAGCCAAATCCATCCAGGGGTTAAAAGTTAGCTGGAGGTCCCTTTATGACCGACCGCAAGCACATTTTCCTGCCCAAAACAGTTCCATAGATTTGGGCTGTGAGGTCGGTCTATTTCAGGCTGAAAAAACGACTAAGTCCCATCGCGAATGGGACTTAGTCTCTGCAGCTGAAATAAGGCTGAAAAAAACGGCTGAAAAAAAGACTAAGTCCCATCGCCGAATGGGACTTAGTCTCTGCAGCTGAAATAAGGCTGAAAAAAACGGCTGAAAAAAAGACTAAGTCCCATCGCCGAATGGGACTTAGTCTCTGCAGCTGAAATAATTTCCCATTTACTGAACCAAGTGGGAAATAGCAAGGCAGGCACAAAGGGTTTGCACCAGGTCTGGGGACACAGGGGACACCGTCTTAAAGGGGCCGTGTCCCCAACAAGTCTGGGGACACGGCCTTAAAGGGGCAGTGTCCCAATCTTCCTGATGTCCCAAAAAAGGTGTTTAAAGGGCCAGCACCAGTCACATAAAGAGTCCATAAGCCCCAATATGCCCACCGACAGTCTTAAAGGGCCATACACACCAAATAAAAGTGCATACATTTTCACAATCTCCCAGGGGCCATAGTCATGCGGGAGGAGGCTGGCAAAGTAGGCTTCTCCACAACCCAGGGAAGCAGGGCAATTTGCCATTTAAAGGGCCCGTTACAAATAGCAGTTTGTAACAAGGTGTCAATCCATATCTGCCAAGTGACCCGATGTAGGGGGACCAGTCCCTATTCTGCTCTGTGTCAGTGTGTATCAGGGAACCTTAGGACAGGTGTCAATCCATATCTGCCAAGTGACCCGATGTAGGGGGAACAGTCCCTATTCTGCTCTGTGTCAGTGTGTATCAGGGATCCTTAGGACAGGTGTCAATCCATATCTGCCAAGTGACCCTATGTAGGGGGACCAGTCTCTATTCTGCTCTGTGTCCGTGTGCATCAGGGGCTCTGAGGACAGGTGTCAATCCATATGTCAAGGTGTCAATATGTCATATGTCAGGTGTCAATCCATATTGATTGTGATTTAGGAATGTTAGGTGATTTCTGCCCTTTATGGATTAAAACCAGACTCTGTATCAACTGTGTAATTTTCCATGGGAGTTTTGCCATGGATCCCCCTCCGGCATGCCACAGTCCAGGTGTTAGTCCCCTTGAAACAACTTTTCCATCCCTATTGTGGCCAGAAAGAGTCCCTGTGTGTTTTAAAATTCGCCTCCCCATTGAAGTCAATGGCGTTTCGGGCGGTTCGCCGGTTCGCGAACATTTGCGGAAGTTCGCGTTCGCCGTTCGCGAACCGAAAATTTCGGGTTCGCGACATCACTACTGATGTGTTTTTTCTTGTACGAACACTACTAAGTGTGACACTGGTGGTTACTGAATGGCTTGAGGGGGGAGTAACTGCTGTCTCTATCAAACTACTTGAACTACTACTGCTACTAGCACCCTTCTTTTTTAGTTTTTCAGGAGATGGAGTCATCACAAAAGCCTCCTGTTGCTCCTCTTCTTTTTCCTCTGCATTGTAATCTAAATCTAACTGCTCCTCATAAGGAGGAGGATAAATAGGTTAGATCTACACTTATTGGTGTTGCTACCTTTGTTCCCTGAATATGCATGCTACTGGTGGTAATAGTAGTGTTACTTTGCAATATAGGGCTTCTGGTGGCTTTTGGGACACTGCCTGTACTGGTTCCTTGTACTTGGGGTTGGGAGGGTACTGCTGCTACTCTCACTTGTATCAGTAAAGAGTTGTTTACAACTACTTTTTGCAGGATACAACTTCTTCTATTTGCAAACCAAACAATGCAACGACCCATTCATTCTGTTAAGTTTCCCCTGCCTTTGCACTTTCAAATATAATACAGTCATTATCTTATTATTAGGTGGTAGGCCACACATTTCTGTCCTAGGTTGGTAGAGTTGCTGTTGAGTCTGGCCATAATGCTACTAAAGATGTTGCAGAGGTGAATGGCATTGGTTCTATTTCATCACCATCTTTTAACATACCAGCCTTCCTTACAGCCTTGTTCTTGAAATACATACTTGACTGCATTATTGTGGTACTACTGCTTATTATGTAAACATACATTAAAAGTAGGTGCACTAAATTAATTGAAAAATACAATCATGATAATGACTTTATCTTTTTTTTCTTTTGACTCTGTATAATTTTTTTTTTAGGGTGATTTACAAGTCTAACACACCCTACCCTAAACAGACACCTAACAAAACCAGTACCTTCTTGGCTTGCACTATGAAGAGGAAACAAATCTCAATGATGGAGAAAGGAGAGAATTATAATACGCTAAATATTCCCTATATTTGGGAATGGACAGAATATTAGTCTCAAACTGCTGAAAAAAGATAATTATCTCTGTAATATAATCAGTTTCACCAGCTTCCTGAATTTCTCTCAAACTTCTCTCAAAAAAAAAAAATACTGCTCACTCACAGAAGAAGACAACTGGTCACAATCCAATTCAACTCAACTCAATACTATTAGATCATCATCTCAGTCAGTGTTCAAGGCTAAAAGTTATATTTCCGCAAACAGTTTGAAAAAAAAATAAAGCACTTAGCTTTATGCAGGGCTAAAACTAAAAACACTATTCAACAATTTGGCAACAGACATATAGCCTTCCCTAGACCCTAAGTGACTCACTGTCTGTCTGTGTCTGAAACACTACATTACCTATCTCAGTACCCTCCTTCAGTTTAATAAAAAGTAGAATGGAGACAAAATCTCTGGTTGATAAGATTAATTCTCTCTGCCTGGCTAGCCTGTACTGCCACAAGCTCCAGAAATTAGCAATCTAGCTAAAGGACTGCAATCCAACAAACCAAGGGCTCAATGGCTCAAGGGCTACTCAGCTCACACTGTCTCGTTCAAAGTGTTCCAGCAGCAACAAGAAATTAAACCTATCAGGCAGTCTTTTCTACAAGTTCAGCATTGGTCTAATTTTACAGGAACTTGACATTGATTGGCAAAACAAATTTACAAAACAACTGGGGGACACATCTCCACCTGGCAATATGGACCAGACTCCATTGTTCTATGCCTGGTGGCACCTTTTATGATCTCTAGTCACAATCCCTGGAATAAAAGTGTCCCTCTTTGGGAAGAAAATGCTGCTACAAGTGCTTTCTTTTTGAAATATGTGTAATCAAAGAACATTAGCCAGTGTTGTCTTATAATTTTGTGAGCAATATTATGGTAGGATTTCTGAATTATCCCCAGAACATTAACCGATAGGTAACCACATTTTTAACAGCTTGTTTGGTTACTGTGTGGAATATGTGCTAGATATTTCATGTACACAATGAAAATTGTTTTGGTGGTACAATGATACTGTCTAATTATATATTTTCATGTACTGTATACAAAAAAAAATGTGTTGTCAGATGTAATTCTGGATAAACATACAGCTCTGTATATATTTATTGTCTATCAAGATGACCTACGTCACTAGCAAGAACTTAGGAAACCAGTCTCATATCGATGAGTTCATTCTCTTGGGCTTCACAAACTTCTCCATGAAGCTCCAGCTATTTCTATTCATTATTTTTATCCTCATTTATATATTCACTTTATTGGGCAATTTCACAATCATCTCAGTTACTACTCTGGACTCCCTACTCTACACCCCTATGTATTACTTTCTCCGCAACCTTTCTTTCCTTGAAATCTGCTACATTACAGTAACCTTACCAAAGCTGCTTCACACCTTTGTTGCCATGAGGAAAACCATCTCCTTCTACGGATGCTGTATGCAGATGTATTGCTTCTTCACTCTTGGTGTCACAGAATGCTTTCTTCTCTCTGTTATGGCTTATGACCGCTATGCAGCCATCTGCGACCCCTTGAGGTATTTTTCTGTTATGAGTAAAACTACTTGCCTAAGGTTAGCTGCTGTCTCATGGATCGCTGGTAATCTCAACTCCCTTGGACAGACTGCCTCCATTTTTAGCCTTCCATTTTGTGGTCCCAATGTCATAAACCACTTTTTCTGTGACATCTCTCCAGTGCTCAAGCTGGCCTGCACTGATGTTTCTGCTAATGATATTTCTGTTTCAGTGAATGCCTTTCTGGTACTTTCTTTGTCATTTTCCCTCGTGATTTATTCCTATGGGTGCATCATTGCAGCTATCCTTCGCATAAGCACCAACACAGGTCGCAAGAAAGTTTTCTCCACTTGTGCCTCACACTTTGTCTCTGTCACCTTGTTCTTTGGGACGGGAGCATTCACTTATGTTCGCATGAAGACCAGTGATAAGCCTGATAATGACAAATTGCTCTCTCTTCTCTACAGTGTGGTGACACCACTTCTAAATCCAATTATATATGGCTTAAGAAACCAGGAGGTAAAAGGGGGAATCCGAAAACTGCTGTATCGTAAGACTGGAAACAATAAACTTTAAAGGGACACTAGAGTCACGAAAACAACTTAAGCTTAATAAGGCAGTTTTGGTGTATAGATCATGCTCCTGCAACCTCATCACTCATTTCTTTGCCATTTAAGAATTAAATCACTTTGTTTATGCAGCCCTAGTCACACCTCCGTGCATGTGGCTTACACTGCCTTCCTAAGCACTTCCAGTAAAGAGGCATCTAATATTTAAACTTCCTGTGTTGCAAATTCTGTTTAATTTACAATTTCTCATATCCTGCTCTGTTAATAGCTTACTAGACCTTGCAAGAGTCTCCTGTATGTAATTCAAGTTTAATTTACAGAGCAGGAGGTAAAAGCTTTTAAAGCAAGTTCGTTCTCATTGAAAATGAAACCTTTTAGTTTTCATGCACACTGTGTCATTCACAGCCAGGGGAGGTGTGGCTGGGGCTTTATAAAGATAAACAAAAGTGATTTAACTCCTTAAGGACACAGCTTCAGAAGCTTGTCTTAGGCTTAATGACACAAGCAATTTTTGCATTTTCTTGCTGTATGCGTTCAACTGCAATTTGCATCTCTCTCGTTTATTGCACCGACACATATTATATACGTTTTTTTAAAGGACAGAAGGGGCTTTAATTTGATTTAACATATATATATATATATATATATATATATATATATATATATATATATAGATATATAAATGCTTATTTATTATTTAAAAGAAAAATGCAAAAAAAAAGAAAAATTTTGTGTTTTTTGTACAGTTTTTGCAATAATAATGTGTGCCTAATTAGTGCAGGTTAAAGAAAGTAATTAAAAATAAATTCATTTAGTTGTTCTGATTTACAAAATATATATAACAGAATACATATATATGTGTCTGGGATTTTAAGTTTTTTTTGGTAGTTACAGGTCACAAAGCACAAGGAGTAAAATAAACTTTTAATGTAGAGCGATTTTAGAATTTGGTATGTTTGTCTTGTAAGCTTAATAGCCATAAAAGAAAACAAAATTGCCACACAAAAGTATATATTTATATAAAGTAGACATCACAGGCTATTGTCCTAAGGTTGTTCTGACACTTTCTACATAGCCATATTACCGCCAATCTTTGCTAAATATTGGAGTAAAATTTAGTTTTTGGGGGTTTTTGGCATACAAACTTATAACAAAGAACTTCTCATGTTTATTTTGTAAAGTTGGTGTGTGCTATTCCTGTACATAGTTTTATTTTGTGTTCAGTTACTTCTGCTGAGTGCAACGATACCCCCATTGTATGTCTTTGGCACTATTTCGTGAAGCTACAATGCCATATAGGAGCCCTGTCCGTTTCAACATTTACAGTAGAATTTTGAGAGGCGGATTTAATGGGCCTATGCTTCAATTTGGAGTATTATAGCAGTTTGACTGTTCAAAAAAAACCTTTTTGTGCCTTAACATGCCCCCATTTTTTCACCAATAGATGCCAAAGTATAATACTTCATATGTTGTTCAGCTATGTCGGCTGAGTACAGCAATACCCCCATATTTACCTTTGCCTGGTATATGTGGACATCGGAGTATTTTACCAGGCTATATAATCCAAATACCCCATAAAGCCATACCATTTCTTAAAGAAGATATCCCAAGGTATTTCAAAAGGCCTATTTTGAACCTTAGCGTGGGATCATTTTTCCGCTAGCTTGTACCAAGTGTAGTGGTAATAAGCATTTTTTCTGGCTTTTTGACACACAAAGTGAGTTTGCGCAGTATATTTTGCAAACCTTATGTGTACTACGACTATATACTACTTCATATGTTGCTCAGCTATGTCGGCTGAGTACAGCAATACCCCCGTATGTACCTTTGCCAGGAATATGTGGACATTGAAGGGGCATATTTGAGACACAGCCATTCCAGTTTTTTTCAAACTTTTAATTTTTATGCTGTGTCCATGTCCCATTTTAGAGTATTTTACAAGGCTATATAATCCAATTACCCCTTAAAGGCATACCATTTCTTAAAGAAGACATCCCAGGGCAATTCAAAAGGCCTATTTTGAACCTTAGCGTGGGATCATTTTTCCGCTAGCTTGTACCAAGTGTAGTGGTAATAAGCATTTTTTCTGCCTTTTTGACACACGAAGTGAGTTTATGCAGTATATTTTGCAAACCTTATGTGTGCTACGACTGTATAATACTTCATATGTTGCTCAGCTATGTCGGCTAAGTACTATAAGATACTCAAAATGAGTATCCACTGGAAAAATAAACAAATATAAATGATAAGAAGTATAATAAATAAAGCTATATACCATGAGGAAGCACAATTTAAAAGAATACTGCTACATGGGTCAAACAGACAAAAACATAAATGCCAAGTGGCAAACCTCCCTTCCTAATGTCTCTATAAATAGAACACTATAATTCGCAGGTTAAGACTTAAATATGATCCTTAGTGGGTCAACATCTGTGATTATAGATTTATATCAATAAAAAAAAATAATAATAGACATCGGAGACATAAAGGGGCTAGCTTATACCTAATTGAGCTCAAAATTGAATAAATATACTCTAATGCTACTTGTTATGAATAAATTCCTTTTGTGGAAAGATTCCCCCACTCACAAGGAAAGTAGTATGAAAGATTGTATCACATAACTGCATATATTGGACACAGGATACTAAATAGTTCACCGAAATTACACACTATATGTGGACATTGAAGGGGCACATTTGAGACACAGCCATTCCAGTTTTTCTCAAATTTTTAATTTTTACACTGTGTCCATGTCCCATTTTAGAGTATTATACAAGGATATATAATCCAATTACACCATAAAGGCATACCATTTCTTAAAGAAGACATCCCAGGGTAATTCAAAAGGCATATTTTGAACCTTAGCTTGGGATCATTTTTCTGCTAGCTTGTACCAAGTGTAGTGGTAATGAGCATTTTTTTTTATTTCAATTTGACAGTTTTTATTTTGTCATAAAAATGCAATAGGGGGTACAGAAAGGAAAAAGGGGGAAGGGAGATTGACAATGGAACATACATCCTTCATCGTTTTTGTTATCCAGTGGTTCACAGTCATGATAAAAAACACATTGCTATTCACATAGAGTTTACATTGGCAATTGTGACCTTCTGTATATGTTGGCTAGTGTTTGTGCCGTCTCTTAAGATTATTGTTGTGAGTGTTATTGGCTGCGATATGTGTTGACGTTACTCTCAAGTCGGGTGTTTCAGTTCCCAATTTTCCCATACCTCATGTCTCCAACTTTTATTGGGTGGTATGCGGGATATACTTGATTCAAATTTCCCAATTTGGGATAGGTGTCTGATCAATTCTCGCATTGTTGCATTGGTGGTTGATAACCAATTTTTTGCGATAAGGTTTTGGGCAGCTACCAGTACGTGGAGTATTAGGTATTTAATCGGTTTCGGGTAATCGGCTTCCAGCATGAGTAAGAGCAGAGATGTTGGGGAGTTCGGTATCATGATTGAGGTATGTTGGTGTATTAATAAGATAACTTCTTTCCAGTATGGCTGGAGTTTCGTACATTTCCACCAGGTGTGTAAGAATGTGCCTGTCTCTTGTTTGCAGCACCAGCAGGTGCTGGACAGCTGCGGGTCCATGGTGGCTAGGCGTGTTGGGACCATGTACCAGCGGTAGAAAAGTTTACGGGTGGTCTCTAAGTGTGAAGCGCAAAATGTCAGGCCTCTGGTTGCATTTGCTGCGGCCAGCCAGGTCTGCTCTGACAGTGTTTGGTCTAGGTCTTTTTCCCAGGAGCGTACACAGGTAAGGGATTTAATTCCTTGGTGGGGCAGTAGTGGTTTGTATATGGTTGAGATGGGCTTTGCCGCTGGTGTATCTGCCATTATACTTTTTTCGAAGGGCGTTAGAACAGTAGTAGTGGGCGATATGGGATGTGGTACATGGATTTTCCACCAGGAATTCAGCTGGAGATAAGAGTAGTATGCCGTGTTCGGCAATGTGTAATTGGCTTTCAGTTGGTCGAATGTGGCCAGTTTGCCTTTTTCTAATAGGGAGTGTATATAGAACGCCCCGCATCTGTTCCACACTCTATAGTTGAAGTTAGGTATTGTTTGCGCCAGGGTCTTAATTGGGGTTGAAAGGGGGGTTGGGTGGCAGCTGCACAGGAGTCTGCGGGTGTTGTCCCAGATTTTTAGTGTCGTTAAGGTGGCGGGAAGTGCATTTGTGGCGTTTCCCCTTTGATGGGGTAGCATCCATACTGTTGTTTGGATGTCTTGGGTTTGCAACCAGTGTTGTTCTATAGAGACCCACTAGGGGGGAGACATGCGTTGGTGAATAGGAAAGAGACTGGCTAAGACTGCTGCTTTGTGGTATAATTTCACGTTGGGGAGGCTCATGCCGCCCATCTGCACTGGTCGGTGTAGTGTGGATAAGGCAACTCTCGGTCGTTTTCCATGCCATATGAATAAGTTAATTTGTTTCTGGAGGGATAGAA